GTGATAGGACAGTGGTTTTGTAATTAACTTATTTACAAAAGAGTGGCCTTCGGCGGCAAAAAATCGGAACAGAAAAATTTTCCCCCTTGGCCACCCCTCCCCGGAAAAAAATCCTGGACGTGGGCCTGAAAAAATTTGAATAACTTGAAGCTTCTTTTTCCACTCATTATTACCAAAATTTTAATCTCTTCTTAAGAATATTGTTGAACGCTTTTGTGACCAAAATGAAGAAACTACAATTTTAATGATATTACTTGCCAACCATGATAAAAAATTTAATTGCTCCGTTAGAAATCATGGTTATTGTAGAATTGCTCATTTACTTTTGAAATTACTTGGAGATGAAGATCGTGTAAACTTAATTGAAGTTATTGCTAAAACAAGTGGAAAAACTGCTTTGCATTTGGCCGTGGCAACTGGACATCCTTGCCAATTACGTGTTTTATTGGCTTTGACAGGTTTTTTTAATATTTTAATTTTTTCTCTTCACTTGTTGGTTATATATTTTATTTCTCTTCATAAATTTAAGATATCGATCCAAATATACTTGATGAATCGGGAAGGGCAGCAATTCATTATGCAGTTGAACGAAATAATTTAGACATGGTAACAATAATTTTTGAAAAAAATTTTTGACGAAAAAAGCAATTTTTAGGTAAAAATGCTAATGTGGTATGGCGCAGATATTTCTATTGCTCAATCGAGAAATTCAAAATATAATCCTTCATATATTTCTATTCATGCAAATCCTGGGGCAACTGTGAGAACATTTAAAAAAAATTTAAATTAAAAAATCTTTTTGAAGGTTGACTATTGGCTTCGTGAACGTGTCAAAGCAATTTCTCAAAAAATGTTGATTTTTGCTAGATCTCTATGTGCTAGAACATTTTCTATTGAAAAATCTATTTCAACTCCACACTTTCTTCGATTGAATAAAATCTCTAAATCTGAAGTAATTTTTTTATTAAAAATTTTTTTTAATATTTTTTTTAATTTCTAGATTGAATGCCAATTAAATTTGCACACAAAAATAAATAATTTTGCTTCACAGAATCGGCCGAGACCTAAATCAGTTTTTGAATTTTTTAAAATTATTTTTAAAAATTATTTTTTAGTTTCTTTTTATGATTCCAATAGCTTTTCGAACAACTGACGAACGTTCTGCTGCTTCAGACCCAAAAATTGTTAGAGTGGCTTTTCCTAGAGATTTTTATGTTGCTGGTCATCCTATGTTTGTTTTTATTTAATTTTAATCGAGGATGTTTCTCTATTTGTTGTGTGCCTCTTTTTCATTTTAGACATTGAAATATCTTTACAAAACTCTTGGCCAGATCAAAAAACGGGCAAACGGATCAAAATCCTTGCTAGAAAGGGCACATTCTCTATCGAATGAGCCTGGTCTCGACCGTTTTTAGGTCGGACACCTCGCAACCTCTCCTTGTTAATTTTAAAAATAATTTTTTTTTTAAATTTCAGTTTGGACAGTTGGGACGTTAATTGTACTGCAACAAAGCTTTTACCTGTTTTTGCTAATAATGGTTATACAACTCGACAAAATAATTCATTTTTTGCTTACGAATTACCATCATCTATTGAAGGTATTTTTTAAAAATAATTTTTAAATTGAGAAAAAAATTATTTCTTTATAAAGGACTCCACAGACTTACTTGCCGTTTAGGGAGTGGATTAAATCGAGAAAATTTATTGATAGCTGTTCAGGCATTTAGTTGCACTGAATTAAGAAGGAATAAATCTAAAGCTGATTAAAAAATCTTTTTTTTTTTGCATAATTGGCAGTTAAAATAATTTTTTGACAAATATTGCCAAAATTTCTAGAAAAAATTTGGTTTATATCCAGGGATTAAGAGGAGAAATTAATATAAATATATATTCGAATTAGAGAAAATATTAGAATAAAAATGGAAGAAAAGCTTAAATAAAAAATTGATATTTTATATGAAATATCTTAAAAATCTAGGGGTTGGAAATTTTTTTTTAATTTAAATTTTATTTTGGACAGCTCTTTGTGGTAGCCTTATATTTAAAAAATTTTTTAACTAATTTTTCTTTATTTTATTTACGGGGCAAAACAATTTTTAAGCATTTTCTTTCATTTTCTTTTTATTTTATTTTAAAATTTTAGAAAACCTATCTAAGCTATAGTTTTAATTTCTTGTCTCTTATAAAATCCCTGGATATATTCTCATTAAAAATTAATAGTATTATATATTGTTTAGTGTTTTTGTTCTCTCCAAATGTGCCTTTTTTTTAATTTTCAAGTCGCGGCACAAAAAAAAAGAATATTTTTGAATTATTTTTGTAATTAATTTTCAAAAATATATTACTTCTAAATTTATATTGTATCACGACTTTAACAAAATTTTAAAGATTGTTTGTGTAATATTATGGGGGAGAAAAGAAATTATTAAAATGCCTTATATTTTTTTATTAACTGTCTGTTAAAAATAGTTAGGGTAATTTTTAATTAAAATAATAATTTAGCCCCCTACTCAATCAAAAATATTTTCTTTTTTGTTTTCAACCTCACGCAGAGACAATTAAATAAAAAAAGTTACAGCTGATAATGATGCAATATTTTATAAATATTTCCAAATTAACTTTTTGATGGTTCCGCAACTTTTGTTTTTCAAGAAACCCTTAAATTTAGATTTTAAAATTTATTTTTCCCATATTTTTTTAAATTACAAAATTCATTAAGCTACAAAATACATTATTTAAATTAAAAAGTCAATAATTAATTAAAGTGCTATTGCCCTTTTCAAAATTAAATTCCGGCTGTCTATTACAATGTGGCCTTCGATTAAAAGTCAGACTACAATTAAACGCTCCCTTCTTTCCTCTCGGAGATCGCTACCTAAAGACAATCGAATTTTTTAATTTTTTTAAAGGTTTTGGCGTCTGTCCAAGCGCGCATGCCCTCTCAATTCGCGCGGGAGATTTCAATTTTGAAAATTGATTTGCTTCAAGCATTAAGAGAAAAGAATGAAGGGGGAAGACAAAGAATAATGCATGTGAGTGATGGTCATGAGGAGGGGAGGGAGGGGGATAAGAGGGAAGGGGGGGGGGGGGGGGGGAGGGGAGGGGGGAGACAGAAGAAATTTTCTTCAACAAAGGGGTTATAATAAATGCCTTGCCATTCTTCTTCTATTCACTCTTTAAATTTTAATTTCCTCCTTGCCTTTAAAAATTAAAAATTTAAATTCCCATACATGCCGTCAATTTTTATTAAATAATTAAAAACCACACCTCAATGTTTTAATTAAGAAGTTTTTTTAAAATTTTCTTTTCCTTATTAATTAAATTAATTTTAAATTAAAATTATATTTAAATTAATTTTTTTAAAAAGAGGGAAGGGAGAGAAGGGGGAATCTAATTTAACAAGTCTAATTTAATTTGTTTATTTTTTTAATAGGGAGGGGGGTTATAAACAAATCTGTATTACAATCTTTTTGTTTATATGTAGAAAGAATATTTCATATAAACTTTCCATTTATTAGTCTCAATTTCAACATTTTTTTACTAAAAAATTATTTTTATATAAATTCTCCTCTCTCTATTTTTTAATGTTTGATTTACTATAAAATTTTTTAAAAGATGCACTAAAAGGCTTTAAATTCCTTTTAATGGCTTGAAAGAAGAGGAAAGCAAGGGATTTCTTTTTTTGGCTTTAAGCCAAACAGGAAGAACCGTTTCCTCTCTTTCCTTTCCCTTTTCAAGTCCAAATAGTAGACAGATTGAATACTACTTACTCTATTTAGTTTGCGCAGGGGGAGTTTTTAAAAAAAATTTTTATAGTTTATTATATGCCCTCCCTTCCCTTCAATTCTCCCCAACAATTCTTTTACGGCCATCGATTACCCGCAAATGGCAGCGACTTTTCTCTCTTGCATTGTTTCTAAACTTAATTTTTTTACTTTTTTTTTTTACTTTTGTGCTTGAAAAAGTTTATAATAAAATAAAAACTTTTTCACGCTAATTTAATTGTGTAATAAACCTTTTTAATTTAATTTTTTAGTGAAGCGTCTGAAAAAAATTTTTTTCAAGTTTAAAAAGCTGTTTGAAATTTTTGTACTTTTTGTTTAATAATTCAATTGTTTCTTTCAATTTTTTTATTTGTTGTAGGATATTTCCTCAGAGAAAAAAGTTTTTTTTCAATTCCTCAAATATTCGAAACAAGAACTGAGAAATCAACCGAAAAGTTCTTCTAGGTTCTCCGGACCATGCAATATAGTCGGATTTGGTTCTTGTATACCTACAAATTTTTTGCTAGTTTTTCAGCCGAGATCTGAATTTTAGTAGGGTTTGGGGGCTCCGAAGGATCGAGTCGGGCATCGAATTTTAGCCCGAAAAAGACTCGGTCGCCCAAAAAAATGACTCGAACGTCGGTCCGACTCCCCAACCCTAAATTTTAGTTAAAAGTCAATCCGTTATATATTTTGAAAAAATTTTTTGGATCCACTCCTCCCCTTCCTCCAACCCTTAAAACTAATTCCTTCAATTCAGAAAAAAAACAATTCTTTATATTGTTGATTTTTTGGGTATAAAATTTAAATTTATTTTATTAAAAGCTAAATTTAAAAAATAAAAATGACTAATAACAAAAAAACTTTTTTATTTTAAAACAAAAATGGAAATATTCATTTTTGGAAATACTTACATTAAATCTCTCTCTATTTTATTAATTTATATTCTAAAAATAGTTTAAATATTAATTTTTATTTTTTATTCTCATTTTAATTTATATTTTCTTAGTATTCTTTAAAATAAATCCGCTTATATTTTTAAATAATATTTTATGATAATATTTTGTAATTATTCTTTGTAATAATTTCTTTTTTAAATTCTTATTTTAAATAATAAGTGTGTGTGTTTGTATCAGGGATGACACGGGTTGAGAAAAAATTCGGTGGGGGTTTTGAGTAGTTAGTCCACAGTCATCGTCGCGGCTTTTTACTAATCCACTACCCGCCGAGGGGAGGGGTCCGACAAAACCAAAAGGGAGAGAGCATGCCGCGGCAAAGATCAAAGGGAGTGGACAATCTCGCGGGGGTAGAGGGGTCCGACAAGCGAGAGGGCATGCCACGGCAAAGATCAAAGGGATGGACAATGTCTCGAGGTGGAGGGGTCCGGTAAAAGAAAATGCCAATAATTTAGGGAAGAGGGGTAGACAAAAAAGTCAATATTTGAGGGATTTCCTCTTCACCTTTTCATTTCGCTGCCCCACGCCGTCTCTATTTGCCTCTCCCTTCTCCTTACTAAATGTGTATGGGTGATTAGTGACCAGTAAAATTTCCATATTTTCATCCCTTACTTTTCCTTTCTGCAACAGACAATCGATAACATAAGACGCTGCAACAAACTTTTCCTCCCTCATTTTCTAGTTTTAGTCAACTTATAAGGTCAAATAACGTTTTAAAATTTTTTAGATATTAAATGAAAAATAAATTTAATTATTAAATGTCAACTTGAGAATTCCTAAAGGTTTTAAAATTTTATTTTATTAATTTCAAATTTTTATTTTTAGAAGTCGTTCAATTGCCAATATGTGTGTTAATCCTGAAAACTCAATCTTTGGAGGTAAATTGTATTCAAATTATTTTTTAAATAAATCGTTTTTAATAGACTATTGAAAATGCTCTTCGAGACGCTCTTAAACAAATCATCAGTCAACAACAACTAAACTTACTGAATCAATTAATGGAATGGTAGAAGATTTTTTGAGGCTATAGAAGATGGGAAGAAGTGAAATTTTTTTAATGATTAAAAAAAATTTTTTTAACTTATTTTAAATTTAAATATAGTGGGGGTATATAATATAGTTGTTTATGGTATGAGGGATGGGCCCAGATCAGGGATGGGCCCCTGCTTGGTTCCAATTTGGGGATGGGTCCCTGCTTGCTCCCAGATCAGGGATGGGTCCCAGACAGAATGAGATTTCTCATTCTAGGATGGGACCCAGACTTGAGATGGGATCTATGTTGGGACCCAGACTCGAGTTGGAGTCTATGCAGTGACCCAGACTTGAGATGGGCCCAGACCTTTTGGACATGGGTCCTGCTTGTGAGGGATGGGCCCAGATCTGGGATGGGTCTCGGGACCCAGACTAGAGATGGGCCCAGCCTTTTTGGACCTTAAGGGATTCCCGGGGGTAAGGATGGGTCCAGATCTGGGATGGGTCTCGGGACCCAGACTAGAGATGGGCCCAGACTTGGTGGTTTTTTTTGTTCAAAAAATACCCTCACTTTATTTAAACCATTTTTTAATAAAATTTCTTTATTGTTTTCACTTAATTTTTTATAATATTTTTTTATTGTATTTTATGTTTAATAAACTTATTATAAAAAACATTTGCAATTTTAGTGTTTAAAAGTAGATTTTAGGGAGAAAAGTGTAGAACTAAGATTACGATTAGCATAGTTTAGAGTTTGAAATAGGTGATTTTAGGGAGAAAAGTGCACATTTAGGAATTAGAAGTTGCAAAAAGCATAGTTTAGAGCTTGAAATAACTTATTTTAGGGGAAAAAGTGCATATTTAAACAAAGAAATATGCAATTTTTAAATTTTATTTAAAATCAACAGATTTTTAGGCATGCGCGCGTGTTTTGGGGATGTGCACGTGTTTCGAGTATGCGTGTGTGTTTTTAGGGGCGTGTCAGTTTTAATAATGTTGTAAAATTTGATAGAAAACCCGAGTATAAAAGGGTGGAGATTTTGAATTTTGTATCATTATTTCACAATGAATCAAAATTTGTTTTCCCAAATCCTCCCAGAAGTAGATTTCAATATCTCTTCCAGTGGAATTACCGTCCTAAGTTCCCGACTTAACACTCCAAGATTTATTCCTTATGATCAATCAGGGAGATGTAAGGAGTGTAAGAGCACTGAAGTGGAAATTGACTTTATTGTGACTAAGGAAGGGATTACCATCTACTGTACACGAATTGGATCAGGTACTCGATTTGTTCCGTTTGATACAATTTATGATTTACCCACTCAATGCTTTTTCAAAATCAAAAATAAGGGAAGAGTTTTCAATGTCCCTCATGGAGTACAACCACAACAAATTATCCATCAAAATCCAAAGAGAGGGAAAAGGAAATTGAATGAATTGCCTTCACCTTCCACGCCTCCTCCTGCTAACCTACCTTCTCAAATTTCCCTCACCCCTCTTGTACCTCCAGCTGATTGTCCAAATGTTATTTCCAATACCTCTCGTCCTGATACACCTCCTGATAATGTAGAGTTTGAGAATGAGCTCCAAGAATTTTATGATAGTTTAATGGCAGCTACGACTGGATTAACTTCATCGCCGAAGAAGTTGGAAGAGTCAGATGAGAAAAAGGATGATACAAATGTTCCTATATAAACTTTAGTTTTTTAGCGTAAATATTTTTAATTATGGAATCGCAATCATTTACTAATAAAGATTTGTATTTTAAATTACCTTTTGGTATGATTTTGTCTGGTCCAAGCTCTAGTGGGAAGAGCTCTTTCCTATTGAAATTTATAGCAGACTCCCAAGATTTGATCGATCCCCCTCCAAAAAGTGTACTGTATTGTTTTGGGGAGATGAACGATAATATCCCTCTCCTTCAAAAATCTGGAGTTAATGTATATGCAGGAGTTCCCCCAGAGGAGTTAATAAAAAGTTATTCAAAACCTTTGCTCCTAATTCTAGATGACTTGCTCCTGTCAATAGATGAAAAGTATTTGTCAGAATTATTCACTAAAAAGTCCCACCATCAAAATTTTGCAGTTGTTTTTGTTACCCAAAACCTATTTGAGAAAAAGATTAAGGTCGCTCGTCAAAATGCCCAATATATTGTTTTGATGAGGTCGCCGAATTCTGCACTATCTGTGAGAAATATCGGAGTACAGCTATTTCCACGTCAACTCGATTATTTTTTAGATGCGTACAAACAGGCAACAAATGAGCCATACGGATATTTACTCATTGATTTGCATGCCTCATCAGATCCTAATCTAAGACTTAGGACAAACATATTTAAGGACGACGAAGAGAAGATAATTTTCATTTCCAAAAATGTTTAGTCAATTAATTTGTGAGAATAAAGAATTTTTACGCTCTTTGGCGCTTACAAAATCTGAAAGGAGATATAAAAAACTTTTACGAAAAGCTGATACTAGTCAGTTGTTATCCATTGTTGAAATTTGTTTGAATATTGTAAAATCCCGTTTTAATCTTAACACTCGTCAAAAGAACCGTTTATTACCACATGCGGAATTTATTCGTAAAATGAGTCGTGCTAGGAGTGAACGGGGAGCAAGAAAAGTTTTGAGGCAAAATGGTGAAGGAGTAGGAGTATTTGCTGCTCTTCTCACTCCTGTTCTAATGGAACTAGCTCGAGCAATTAGTATAAAAGCCTATCAAAATTATTAAAATCAATCATAAATGGCAAAAAAATTAATTCTTGTACCAGAAGAGATTTATAGAGGGCTTACTTCAAATAATTATGGGGATCCAAATTTAGATTTCACAAAGAGAGCGGTGGAGAATGCTAAAAGTAAAAAAGAAAACCTCTCTGCCAAAAATATTCATTATAACCAAGAACTTAGACGATATCTGAAACTAAGGAATGAAAGTGAGAATAAACCCGTTAGAGTTGAAATGGTAGCTAACCCCAAAGGAGCAATTATGAATAGAGATGTTATTAGACCCGCAACAAATATTACAGACGATAACGATGATTTATGGATGAGCGATGATTTTTCTTATTCTGCGTACCCACAAGAGCCGCCAGCCTTATCATATAATATTGTTCCTCCTTTGTCAAATTCTCCAAACGAGCAAGTAGAACCCAAAGGTCGGCATAGAAAATTATTAAGGAGCGGAATTTCCCCCACTCCTCCTACACTTAGACAAAAAATCAAGAGAAAAATTGAGGAGGATGATAATGGACAAAATAAGAGACGACATTTGAGTAATTACAAAAATGAGAGAAGAGATGAGTATATGAAACTTTCTGAAAAGGCTAGGAGTAGAAAGCAAAATTTAGAAAGGAAAAAGATGTTGAAAAATTGGAGAATTCCTTATACACCTGAATATAATGCTCCTGTTGATGATGATTTTCCTCCATCTCCTCCCATCCCAACTATTCCTGAAGGTCTTGATGCTCCCCTTGTATCTGACTCTCCTCCAACTAGACAAATTACAAAAAGGGGACAGTCAGAAGAGTTTGAAGGTACAAAGAGATGGAAGAAAGGATATGATGAACACCAAGAAGCAAAATTAAAACGTGAACAGAAAAAAAGAGAATATTTACAAAGAAAAATTAATATTCGAGAACAAAGGGTTCCAATTGATCAATCAGCGCTACTTAAGACTCGCAAGGAAGATGATATTCAAAGACGACTAAAATTAAAAAGAAAATGGGAAGGTCCTGACGAAAGTCCTCTAATTGCCTTGAAAAAAGTAAAACCTGTCACAAAAATACAATCAGCAAAAGCCGGCAGAGAATGGATGTTAAGACTTATAAAAGCTAAACGTAAGGAGGCTGGTATAAAAAGGTTTAAACCAACGCTTTGGTAAAAATGGCAGACCCCACACAACTATTACATCGACTTTACAATGACCCAGATTCACCTGCTGCCTTTTCCGGAGTTGATAGGTTATGGCATGAGTCCCGTAAAATTCTCAAACATTTACCCAAAAAGGTTGTCCAAGATTATCTGGAAGGTCACAGGACATATACTCTTATGCGTCCAAAAAGAATTCACTTTGAAAGAGCAAAAACTGTAGCGGCAGGTTTTATGACAGATGTGCAAGTAGACTTGGCTGATATGCAGGCCCTCTCCCGGCATAACAAAGGAAATAAGTATATTCTCCTAGGAGTTGATGTTCTCTCCAAACGACTCTTTGGTGTCCCAGTTAAATCAAAGGGTTCAAAGGATATGTTAGATGCATTTAAACAACTAATTGGTCAAATGCCTATGAAACCTCATAGGATTTTCTCTGATAAGGGGTTAGAATTTAAAAATAAATTTGTAAAAGAGTATTTTGAAAAGGAGGAGATACAAAAATTAGAGGCTACACATTCAACAGTCAAAGCTGCTGTGGCTGAAAGAGCCATAAGAAATGTAAAGCAACGACTTTACAGATATTTTGCTCAAAATAAGTCACTTAATTGGGTTGATATTTTGAAAAAAATTTTAGATGGAATAAATAAGTCAAAGTGTAGAGTACATGGACTAAGACCGATAGACATTGATTTTTCCAATGCCCAGGAGGTGTGGGAGAGAATGTACGGTAATGAGATTTCAAAGAAAAGAAAGTCAAAATTGAAAGAAGGAGATTTTGTTCGTTTGTCTATTGGCAAAAGTGCTTTTGAAAAGGGATATATTCCAAATTGGGGAGAC